GACACGATGCTTTATCGGTTGTTTTAGGCCTCTTGAACCTTTCCGTCTTCCTTAATCCATCTATTAATTACTAATCTATCTTTGATAAATTGTACTACATTAGCCTGCATATATTAAAAAAAAAATATTGAGTTCAATATGAGTTCAATATCCTCTTTATATACTGTATACGCACGTATTCAATATATTAGCAATTGTAATAATTGTGCAAAATATTTTTTAAATGTTCGATTTTTTTTTTTTTTTTTTTACATAAATTTAAAAGTATTTATCTACACATTTGTTTAAAGCATTTAATTTATTAATCAAGCTATAAATGAAGAATAAATGAATAAAGAGTAACAAGAATTTTAATTAAATGTAATTTCGCAAATTTATATTATTCGGGTCAATATTAATTTATCCTACATTAAATTTGAATGCGAGATTATATACGTGGCTTTCGAGATTAGGATATATATTAACTGATGTGCTAGATATTATATAGATTCGGCAGGCAATTAAGTAAACTTGTACACGATAAACATTCAAAATTATGGTGCATTACCTGGGTACAAGATACGTTTAATACCCCGTTTTCCTCGATTAAACAATTTTACGATCAATTTTCGATCGACCAGAAAAGTCTTCACTTCCCGTAATACGATGCGAAGTCGATACTTCTACAGTCTTAGAGGCTAAATACACTGCAGTCGTGAAAATTATTGTCTACCATGCTGCAGTTAGTAATTCCAGAACCCTTTCAGCTAAGGATGCAATTCTGCGCGCTGCTTCTAACTTTCGTAAAGATACACTCAATTACATTCATGTAATTCATCCGATAAATAATCGATTTTAAATTTATTATGAAGCTGTAGTCTGCAAAAACTGCGTTATATTGTATATCTCATATTTTTTCTTAATATAAATAATCTTCGCCTTTTCTTTCTATACGCAATATTTTAATCTATGAGATTCTTCACTGCAATAATTTAATTATAATTAATTTAAATACGGTTTTAATCTCCGATATTTCCGGAGTATTATTGATGAAATAAAATATATAAATGTTATAGCAAGACATAAATCATATTAATAGCACCAACAAAGAATATTGCAACTGAATTTTTTTATTTAAATTCATATACTTTTCAACCTCTTATTTTATCAAAAAATAATTAATGTAATCCTAATTCATACAATTTTGTGTTCAACATTTTATTTCTAACTAATAAAAATTTTTCGCGCGAAGAAAACTATTGCAAAATTTTAAAGAATTCGATTTTTGCGGTTGCAATATTTTTTATTGGTGTGTACCGTGGATGTATAGTACTTACCAAACCGTCGGCGGCGACCACGTGGCCAAGAGCAAGCAGGACGACGAGGATACGGAGGATCGCGGCGCCGGCGATCATGTCCAGAAGTAGTGGTTTGGCGGATGGGAGCCAGCGGGGCGACCAGCGCAGACAGTTCGACGGCGACGGGGACGCGCTCGTCGGCGAGACAAGCCGGTGGTGCTCCTGTCGCGGACGCATCGCGTCATGATCGCGACGTGCTCGCGCTTTACGGACGTGGGCCCGACGACGGCGTGGCTCCGGTTCGCCGGCTGTTCCACGTACCTACTTACTTATTTTTCCACCTTCGAGACGAAGGAGCTGCTGCGTGCGTAAACGCGTGTGTATGTACGCGGCCCTACGCGCTGCAGATCTATAAATACGGGCACGACTCCGCGCGAAGAATTTCAAACAACCGCGCCGTAAAATACCGTCGATGAAAGAGTCTCGGGGAGAAATTTGGAGCTTCGAACACTGTCAACGGCCTCCTCCGTCGAATCCGCCGCGAGGTAGCTCTCGGCCTTGACCCTGCGTCCTAAGTCCGGACGCGTCGATCTGCCGTAATGAAATCCGATACAGACAGATCTCCTTTAAGGCAACCTAATGGCGTAATAAAATTAAAATTAATAAAGAGAATTGTCTTATTAAAATAAGAGATACAATAATACTAATTTAGACAATTCAATCGAATGAATTATATTAATTATTTGTGTATTTGAAGAATTTTTCTTTGTACGAGAATAAAAAACGATATGTGATTTAATCATAGGTAAAATTTCTGTGATAATTCAAGCATTCCGTGGATTATATATATACAGTAAAGATTTCTATTATAACGCAGCATAGTTCTCAGAGTTGCATTACATAGTATCAGTCTTATGAAACACGAGGAAATCAACAGATTCTTCAGTTTTTCCGAGTTCTTCACTTATCTCGTTCTATTCCACTTATCTAATTATCTACTTGTTTTTTCATCTAATTGTCTTTCTCATCATCGCATATGTCATTTATAAACCATTTTTCTTAATTCACTATAACAGAAACGCAACTTTCTTTAAGATAAGACTATGCATCTATCTATTCGTCGATGATTAAATAAAAACGAATATGGATGAAATGTAATCGCCTTCTTGCACTAGTAACTTTGCGCGGATATTTTTATCTGTCATCGGAAGTAACGATTAAAATAGCGCGATTTGTCAATGCGAAAGGACGCTGTCCGATATGTCGTTCACGCGGGAGCTACTCGAGCAAGCGCACGCACGTGGCTTCAGGCCGACTGACGAGATACACGCGCGCGAGAGGAAGTATCAACGGAGGCTGCTGAGAGGAGTGGCTGCCGAGCTAGGCGGAAGTGGAGGGTGATTCTGCGGCGGGAAGTGGAATGAAAGCGGAAGGTATCTCCATCTCTACTTCTTGAAGATGCGTTTACTTATGGTTGATCACGCGTGTAAATGAATTCGTATCGATGCGATATTTGTTCCGCAAACGGTGGGAGAGCGCGTGTTGGTCGACAATCGACCAGACTGGTCTTGCCGCGATAACATCGAGTCATTTTAATAAATTTTGAATAAATTAGCCGTTTAATAGTGCGATACTAAAACGTTCCCTTTACGTTCTCGCGCTCTCAAATCGCGTCACCGAAGATGCCTGACAATTTTTCGTTCGAAACGTTAAAATACGCACGATGTATATTTTACGCATTTTTTTATTGATGTACTTAGACATATCATGGAAATAATTTTCATGAGAAAATTGTGACATCTTCCGAGCCGCCTTTGATATTAAGCGTTAATTTCTTCGTTCATAATCTTTAGTGCTTATGAACATTTAGGTCACTCGGACTAAAGATTTCTATTATAACGCAGCATAGTTTACATTTCTTTGAGCCGGCGTTCAAACCGGCCAGCTAAGAAAGAACGTAAGAAAAAAGAATACACTTTTCATGCATTTTAGTTACTTTATTTCCGACGAGACTGTTTAACGTCTTATCCTCGCGTGCAAATCGTTACAAGATCAAAAGATCACACTTGACGTCTCTCGCCTCTGGAGAACGTGAGTCTTCACTGCTATGTGCTTAGGTTCCCTAAATAACGTGCATCAACAAGCGAAATCTTACCCCGGTGTATTTCAACGGTGTATCCGAAACAATAAATAGCCCGAAATTTTTCGGCGCGCGAAGAAGCTTGTCGATGTATCAAGGATGTCCCAGACCCTCGAATAGATGCGACGAGGACACTGATAGCTTCTGCCTTGGCATTCCAATCATCGTAAGAATATTTGCAATCTTCGATGCGGTATGCGTTTATAACAGTAGCAGACGATGAATAATAGTAGACGGAATAGTAGAAGACAACTAAGTAAATTCGTTCACCGTGGATCACGCGCGAAGTCGCGATCACGATCGCGTCTCTCGTGAATGTCCGATCTGTCAACTAGCTCTTTGCGGTAACGACGATCGTGCTTGATAGCCCGATGGTTTACTGCGAATCGTCGTACGCGAGATTAAAGGCGAACCCTATTTTCACCCCGCGCACGCGGAGAGATATCACTCTCATCTTTTCCAGCCGGTAAAATTGTTTAGCGTGGAATACGACGTGGCGGGGCACGTCGGCCTACCAACCGCGGAACCGGCTGATATTTTTAGTTCTCCCGACGTCTTCCACAACCGACGTCTGTCTTCACCTTTGAGAGCTACCTAGAGCTCGTAGCGATATCTTTGTTCTTCCTCGAAGCACTCTCCCGTACGCCGGTATTGCCGGCGAATCATGCCGCTCTCCGATAAGCTTGATCGATGAAGCCGAGATGAGATATTTCGGTTCTTCTTTGAGTCGGCATCATATTAGTAGTATTACGCGAGTCACTGGATCCCGTCGCTACATTTCATCTTATATGAATTCTAGGGATTACAACCGTTAATATCTTATCACGTTTATGTTTACTCGATAAGATGAAATTTGATATCTCTCAGAGTTGCATTACATAGTATCAGTCTTATGAAACACGAGGAAATCAACAGATTCTTCAGTTTTTCCGAGTTCTTCACTTATCTCGTTCTATTCCACTTATCTAATTATCTACTTGTTTTTTCATCTAATTGTCTTTCTCATCATCGCATATGTCATTTATAAACCATTTTTCTTAATTCACTATAACAGAAACGCAACTTTCTTTAAGATAAGACTATGCATCTATCTATTCGTCGATGATTAAATAAAAACGAATATGGATGAAATGTAATCGCCTTCTTGCACTAGTAACTTTGCGCGGATATTTTTATCTGTCATCGGAAGTAACGATTAAAATAGCGCGATTTGTCAATGCGAAAGGACGCTGTCCGATATGTCGTTCACGCGGGAGCTACTCGAGCAAGCGCACGCACGTGGCTTCAGGCCGACTGACGAGATACACGCGCGCGAGAGGAAGTATCAACGGAGGCTGCTGAGAGGAGTGGCTGCCGAGCTAGGCGGAAGTGGAGGGTGATTCTGCGGCGGGAAGTGGAATGAAAGCGGAAGGTATCTCCATCTCTACTTCTTGAAGATGCGTTTACTTATGGTTGATCACGCGTGTAAATGAATTCGTATCGATGCGATATTTGTTCCGCAAACGGTGGGAGAGCGCGTGTTGGTCGACAATCGACCAGACTGGTCTTGCCGCGATAACATCGAGTCATTTTAATAAATTTTGAATAATTTAGCCGTTTAATAGTGCGATACTAAAACGTCCCCTTTACGTTCTCGCGCTCTCAAATCGCGTCACCGAAGATGCCTGACAATTTTTCGTTCGAAACGTTAAAATACGCACGATGTATATTTTACGCATTTTTTTATTGATGTACTTAGACATATCATGGAAATAATTTTCATGAGAAAATTGTGACATCTTCCGAGCCGCCTTTGATATTAAGCGTTAATTTCTTCGTTCATAATCTTTAGTGCTTATGAACATTTAGGTCACTCGGACGCATCTAGCGCGAAATGACAATGAAAGATGTGTGAGAAATCTCGAAGTATTCGCCGTGATGCCGATGCTAGAAATAACTGCACTTAATGCCCAGTATTAATCATAATATTAATCAAACCTTTTAATGAAACTTCTTGATTTTATTGGAGTTTTTAAAATATTGGGATAAAGTGTCAAACATTTTTGCTCTGTACATCTCTAACTTACAGTCTGAGATTTGAATCACCCTTTCGTAATTTTAAATTTTATTCATTCAATCCCGAAAAAAGAAAAAGAGTGAGAGGGGGGAGGAAGGGAAGCAGAGACCGATCAGGGTCGCTTGAAGGATTCGGTTAATGACACACGTCGTAGTTGCCTACCAGAGTATCCCTGTGGTCCGACCACGCCCCGCTCTCGCAAGAAGATTACACGAAATTGACCGTTTTTGAGGAAAAAATAAGCATGAAGCATGGCCGCTCTTCAGGCCGGTGATTTCGTTCCCGAAACGAGGGCCGTCTTTCGACCTAAGCGAGACTGACTCATGTAAACGATACGCTCGCAGATCGGAGGCGTTCCACTCGTTTGAGGAAACTGTTACATTGATTAAAATTGCTCGCGTCCATCTCGCGCCATATATAACGATTACACGTCGAGGACACGACGTACGCGCAATAACGAAGATTAACTGCGTCCCGCAAAATACGAGACGCGATTAAAGATTAAAGCGTTATTATCGCCACCGGTATTGCGTTATATCATAAATTTCACAGTAATGTTCGTCTATTCGATAATCCCGCCTTGAAGGAACCAATTTTCCAAGTCCCCCCCATATATCATAATATTAATTAATATCCATCTCTGATTATTGAAGTGAAATTTTTTTTAACAAAGTATATTATTCGCCTTAATTATATCGCAGTACATTTTTGTTTATTCTTCTCCAAATTTCTCTTCAAGTTTAGTGAATAATATATTATCGAAATCAACATAGATTGAAGTTGATGTTAAAATATTTCCAAATCAGTTCGCCGATGAAAACGAGAGCAGAAATCGAGTATCCTATTATCAGTACATAGATTATCGAATGATGTACGTTAACGTACATAAAATTCGTTTGGTCCCGATTTATCTGGATAGTTGTCTCCTTCGTCTCATTCCGCACGTGATCACGATACCACTTATTGCGAATACCGCTTTCTGTGAGCATTAGAAATAAATCACTGACGCGTCTGATATAAGGCGACCCTTCCGGAAAGACATTACCGGCCAGTGGCGACAGATAACAGAGTTTCGTCGTCTTTAACATGGTCTCATCATTCCGCATGTTATTGACCGCGAACAATTGGGCCCAATTTTCATCCATAAAGCAGGTAACGTTCTGATACATTAGCAAATCCTTGAGGCAGACGTCCGTATAAATAAAGTTTTTGATTTTTTTGCCAGATTTATAAATGTCACGCTTGAAAGCACTGTTGTATTGCGTGATAATTATCAGTATATTTGCGTCTATCATTAATACAAGATCGGAATTTATTAGATCCTGTAAATGATCGTACTGAAGGTACTGATTGTTCTTGAAACTGATGCTCGTTAACTCGGCAAAAAGGGTCGAGGAGTAGCATGCGTAGACAGCAAAAATACTAAGAAGGATAATTCGCTCGTGTAATTTTGTGGATACCGGTGGAAAGGACGCGGCCAATATGACACCGACGATTTTCACGAGATCCCATTTACTTGGATTGAACTTCATTAATCTTGAGCACAACCAGAAGATTCCTACGATCGAGAAATTCAGGACAAACAATCGGAATGCAATGCCGCTCATAAAATGCTGCTTGACGAGCAGCCTGGGTATCACGAAGCACCAATTCTCGATAAAGAGAGGATAAGTGTATTGTATGGCGGGTGATGGCCCTTTGTACACATTTCCCCACATCGGCATCGTAATTAGAAGGGCGTCGTATTTTTTGGAGGCTACATCGGCCAGGATGCCATATGGAGTGCCATTAGGCATCCTTTTGAAATATGAATTATGCTTTTGTATTATCTTGGGAACACCGGTGAAGTTCATTTTGTCCGCCAGGATATCAATCAGGATCTTATCTACGCCTTTTAACTTTTGTTCCGTGGCTGATACAATATCGCTGTACGGAGGCCGACGAGTAAAAGCGTAAACTAATGGATAACCATACATATTTGGAAAGTCGTCCGTGAACCATGCAGTATTTACGGAATACGGTTCGTCGTTGTAACTGTCGATGAACGGGTTGTATCGATGAACGATCGTAGAGTATTCATCGGAGTACTCCGATACTCCGGAATATTCCACGACGATTGCGTCGAGAATGTTCCTCGACCACATCGCTCGAAAGAGCGTTACGAGATTGCGACACGGTCGACGAAGTATCATCAGTACAAGTACCTTGGGCCGGACGCGATCGTGAATGAAGCGTTTCATGTCTTCGACTACGAGCTCGCCCTCGACGATATCCGGCTCTCGCTCTGAGACATAGATATACACGACTAGATCGCGTGACATTCCGCAGGAAGAAACTTGAGACAGTTCCGTCTGATCCGCGTTTACGTAAAGAGTCGGTACGAGTCGACTTGTCGCCGCGAATATTTTACCGAGAATGTCGTCCATTTGCCCATCTAATAAAGAGTTTCGTAGTACGAGGAGAGCGTCCCTCGCTCGTGATGTTTGTAACACTTTGCTTAAGATATCCACGAAGAAGTCTTTGCCCGAACGATTATTCAACCCGGAAAAACGACCTCGAGTTTCAACGAGGTAAGAAAACATGATAATAGTCCAGAACAAATGTTGTCGCGTGATCCTCATCTTGTTGAAGAAAGCGAGCGTGATTATCGGGTATAATCGAAACGACGACTGCGAAGAGAATAACTCAAAAGTGAGTATCCACAATTGTAAAAAACCGTATATTGCTGGGAACGCAAGGAACAATAGAAAATAGCATTTCCATAACAATGGAAAAATAGCTTAAAACATTCATACGGATTGCTTTAGAAAAATGTAATTAGTTAGCCGCATAATACTTCAGAATCATTCATCTTTGCCACTACCGTATTGATTCTCGTGCATCAACGATAAAAACTTGATTGTCATTTTTCCAGTTGAATAAAAGCTTTGGAACGCAAAAAATTTTCATATACAATAAATAAATTATTACGATTTTATTTCTCCAATTATTTCATAACGTAATTGCATGTTGTTCCATCCTGAATTTACAGAAAAATGAATATTTGAACACACGTGTTTATTAACTTTTAATGCGTCTCATGGCATCTGCCGATTAAATATATATAACTTTTTGGGAGTTTATCTTTTTTTCTATTTTTAAAATAAATAAAAAGGGCGGTTCTATTTTTTAATCTACTCAAAATTAAAGACCGACTTATTTCTAGGATTCTCGGACTATAATTTGTACAATATAATTGTAGCTTAATAAAAATATTTAATTTAGTATTTAATTTAACGTGTTCCGCGCGAATATGGAATCAAATGCGAATGGCAGACATAGCGACATATAAAGGCCGCTACTCTCGAATTAATTCCCACGAGCTCGAGACTAAAGGAGACAGGATGGCCGTACGCGTATCCGGATCTCATAGTCCTCCCGTGCCCTTTTAAGTTAAAGGGAAGAGGAGTAGACGAGAGTGAATGCCGCAGGAACCGAAGGGACACCGATATAAATCAACGTCTGGCCGGGCACGATTTCCGTCGCAAGAGGGGAACGGGACAGGAGAGACGCGCGTACGCGGGCGGCTGGAGACTCTAAAGTCGCTGTCTCCCCCTCGCTACTTATATGCTAATGTCAGCAAATCAATTTATTTATATTTATTTATAGCATTCAAATGTTTTTCGGGTCCGCGCACGTTGGTTGTCGGCGCGGACCACCCGCGAAAGCGAGCCGATCCCGCGCTCGCTGCGGGCTACGAGATCCGTGGGGTCCAGATCACCCTGCCCCCCCCCCCTTTCTTTCAGACTGATACAGATAGCTGGAGGATGCTGGAAGGGAAAGGGGGACGATCGACAACGTACCAGTCGATTCAGAGTTTCACGATCCAGACTCCTGAACGCGATCGCGGCTAAAGAAAGGGAAGATAAGATACTTTCACGCAAACGAGCTTTGAACGAATCTTTGAACGAGGCAAATGTTCGTCGTAATAACGTTACGTCCTGTCTTCTCAGAAGCATTGTTTTTTACGTTCATATAAGGACATTGAACTTTTTTTTATGCTGATACTCTTAAACACATACGACTGTGTTCATCTGATAAAAATTGCTGAACGTTTAGAATTAATCAACTGACAGTTACTACAGTCAATTACACAGTTTAATCTTTTTTAATATTGATATATGTCTACATGTAAAATATGATATATTGTATCTATTTGTGGGTTTATATTTATTTTATATTTTGATTAATTTTAAACTTGGTATATATCAAGAAAAAAAATAAAATTTAAAATAAATTTAAAATAAATTTAAAATTGTAAGTTGTAAATAATATTAGATAAAATAATTTTATATATTGCCAGAATGTATACATATAATCCAAATCTTTTATTAGTTAAATGTGTATTGATTTAGAATCCTATTATTTATATTCTAGTTATCCACATACAGATATAGTATCATATTTTTTATGTGTTGCATTTTTTTCTCATATGTGGTTTACCAATATAAAATAATTTCATTTCTCTCTCTCTGGTAAATATGTACATGTATGCACGCGGTTATATACTGGTAACGCTATAGCAAGAAATATTGCATATGTCGGGCGCGGTTAACTCGAGTCACGCGTGACGTAACTCCGAACTCCGAGGATACCCGAAGTCTTCAGTAACGTATAAAGAGATGTGATCTCGAGAAAGTTTATTTATATTCACTTACAATATAAAAATTATTTTAATTCTCATTCATTTTAGTACCTTTTCTTCCTTTAATATTTTTCGAATAATATTGATCAATCGCTCAAAGATAATATAATGAAATATCGGTAGTAAATATGAATTTACAGAGATTACTTATTTGTAAGACACGCTTTATAAGCGGCTGCGATGCAAGTAATTGTGATAATTAAATAATTATTGACGTAGATGTATAGAGTGGTTTCAATATAATAATGACTTCAGAAGGCATATTTATTATATAATAAGAAAACAAATATTAATTTTAATATTTATTTACAATATTAAAAATATTTTAATTTGCATGGCTATTTGATACTTTCTAAAAATTGATATTCTTTCAATAATTGGTAGTTTTTCGGTAATTGTGTGTTTCAATAGGCATTCAATGGAAAGAGAAATTTATAATAAATTTATGAGCCATCATTGCCTGAGACTTTTCCAGGGAAAGGGAATTTATTCAGAATATTTGAGATACCCGGTATAATCGAGCGACAGCGCAGCATGCGGTCAGTTGTGTCGATTATAGGCGTGGACATATAGAGTATGTAGAGAATGTTTGCAGTAGTTTGGAGGCATTGAATCTCTCGCGTGTGGAGTTTTCGTTAAGTAAAAATACAAGACATATATCACGTTTTTTTTCCGAAATGGCCGATGGGATTCGTTTGTATTTTCTCGCGACAGTGTTTCTCCTAATTTGCTGCGTCCAAGAAGGTATATTAAGTCAGTTATCTAAAGAATATATAGATTCTAATTAATTCTTATAGAACCTTCAAATAACCTTCTTAAAGATCCAGGGTACACGAATACGTACTTTATGCATGTATGTATTTATCGATATTCTTACAGAACTTTGCGCATAACTTTGATAAGGATTTTATATCACCGATATATTCCTAACCTCTATTTTGTAGAAATAAATTATATACTAGGTTGTATTTAAATAAATACAGCCTTTATAACTTAATTAAGGAAAGTATGTATTTATAGTTATAAATAATATGTTGGATTTTATCGCAATTTTCAGGCCTTTCTATTAAATGTTGGGAATGCAGGTCAGACACGGATCCAAAATGCGGGGATCCGTTTGACAATACCACTGTACCTATGACAGATTGTAAACTATCAGGTGAACTGGAGCATTTGCCAGGTGTAAAGCCGACAATGTGCCGCAAAATTCGTCAAAAAGGTCATACATCTTAAAATATAAAACATAAACCTGTGGCTCATCAATTTTATGGTTACACCCTATGTTTTGCATAAATTTTTGTTTACAGTTCATAGTGAATGGAGATATTTTCGTAGCTGCGCTTATATGGGAGAACCCGGGATTGCAGGTGACGAACGATTTTGTTTAATGAGAACTGGAACATATAATATATTTATGGAATATTGTACATGTAATAGTAAAGACGGTTGCAATTCGGCGCCATATCAATATGGAAATTGGCTGCTTTTGTTAATCGGTTTGATAACAACCGTTCGATACATATTCATTGTTTAAAAAAAAAAAACCAAGATTCTAACCAGAGATTTGTAACAAATCTGATTCACTGGATAGTTAAGATTTTAGTATGTTCACAGTTCAAGATTTTACTTGTACTTATTAAATGTTCTTCTCATTTTTTTACACATCAAACTTGAAAAGAAGATAAACTTAAACAATTAAACATATTGATAGGTACTACGTATTACCTATCTAGTCTGTTTACAATGTAATTTTGTAATTTTTATAATTTTTTATGGGAAAAGAAATTAAGTGCCTGTTGTGTGCCTTATTATAAAGAGGTAATGAAAATTTTGTAAAACTATTTATAAGAAGAAATAACTTCCAGTAAGTCAGTAGCATTTACCTTGGCAAGCAATATTTTATAAATAAAAATATATATAAATATTTTATAGAAATATATATATATATATATATATATATATTTCTCTATTGCTACATATATATATAAAAAAATGTATATTTGCCTAAAACTTTTTCCATTTTTATATTAGAGTACAAATTATAAATTTTACGAATATTCGAATAGTTTACTATTATAACATAATCTTATATATAGATATTAGTGATCAAATAGATAAAACCGTCCATTAATTATCCGTCCATTAATTGTACGGTCCATTTAGTTTTAACATGGTATTTTGCCATTTTTTTATTATTTTTGTACATAATTCTTTAGTAATATATAGTTTTTACACTGCCGTACGCGATACAAACAAGGCATTATTCATAACATTTTTACTGTCGTACTTCACTCATATGAAACATTTAATACATTATTACTTAAAAATTTCTACGAATTTGTCAAATGGGTGTATGGAATGCAGACAATAAAATAATTTTTGAATCGGAAAATAGAGATATTGTCTTGATAAACATGAAACCTGAAAAACTTATTGATTTTGTTACATTCACAATAGGAAATTAATAGAAACTTGTCTCGACATACATTTACTATATAATTAAGTATACTTAAAAAATATAAAGATATTTTTGATCTACATATAATAAAAAAGAAAAAAATATGTTTTAAATATATGTATGAAATAATGTGTTGATTTTAGTGTCAATTATGTACAATACAAATATTCATTAAAATATTATTAATATTATATAAGTATATTATTATAAAAGAAATACTTATATAAAGATGAACAGAAAAGATATTTTTTTTATCATACTATGTTTGATGTTCTAAACATTTTAACATTTTCTTAGCTATTTTCTTTTACGGTATACTTTTATATTGAGTTGTAAATACATTTAAAGAAAGTATTAAAACTATTTAAAAATATACAATTTAAATTACCCGAGCCACATTAAGAGAATATGAAACTTGAAAAACTTATTTTGTTATATTCACGATAAAAAGAATGAATAAAAAATTGTCTTTATATGCATATATATAATAAAAAAGTATATTTACAAATATAAAGATATATTTACTATTTTGCAAATAATAAACAAATAAAAAACATGTTTTAAACATATGTACGAAATAATGTGTTGTGCATGTGTTGTTAAGTGACAATTATTTAAGATATAAAAATACTAACTAATTAAAACTCAACATCTTTAAAGAGATATATTTAATTATAGAGATATATTTTACGATTGCTACGTCGTTTTATCATTTATATAAAATTCTTTATATTATCAAATTTGTGTATAAATAATAATTAGCGGAATAAAATGGCTTTTAATTTTGCCAATACATCGATTTCAAATATTAGTCGTTTGCTTCTTTTATAATCAGCGTGGTAATAAATATGAGCAAGTATATATAAAACTATAGTTTAGATTTTTTATGTTATCATTTTACTAAAAAAGTATATGTTTTCTCAAAGTACGTTTTTATAGGCGGTTAATATAATGCTTCTTGATTGTCTTAATTTATATAAATTATAGAAATTGTTATTTTTATAAAAATTCTATAGTGTCAACAAAAAATATCACTTAATACTAACGTAACATGATGAGCTTATATTTTCGCGTCTTACAAAGTATGATATGTTGTACTTGTAGCATTACGATTATTTTTTTTTTTTTTTAACTATACATATATGTATTAGACGGTAATTCTTACTTACTTTACGGACGGTTACATTGATCGAATTTGGGGCAAAAGTATATTCAGTTCTTTCTTTTACGGACGGTCAAAATTGACAAAGAGTTTATATATGAAGAATCTGTGCAATTTATATAAAGATAAAAACCTAAAATTATTTTTTTATAAACGATTTTTTCTTGTGTAAAATCAGCAACAGATTCTGAAATATAAATGTACGTATTAAGAGATGCACACGTTTATAATAATCTTCGAATTCGTACACGTACGTATTCTATGGTATTCTTTGGAATAGCTTTATCGATCAATATCTCAAATATTTATGACGCACGTATATAGCGCTCTCATTTTCCCTGCGATGTCTCTAGATATCTAAAAGGAAAGTACGTAGTGCAGTGATCTTCGTCGTGTTGAATAGGTTACTACTCGTACGCCACATTTTTATTCAAACGCTTGCCATTTCGTTATCTCTTGCCCTGGTTTCGCTAGAGCTTGCTTCCATTGTTCGCCGTAAGCTCCTCCAACGTCAGGGCCGATTACAAAGTGGCCTACGGGAGTTTTCTTGCCTAAGACATAAATATAATTATGTAATAAAATTATACGATTACATACATTATGATATTTTATATCACAATAAAGATAAAATTTGTATTGGTTTTTTTTTACCCATTTTATTCTTCGAGACGAACTTTATAACAAAGCTCACGTCATTGAGCGCTCCTTTGTACGGATTGTCGGCGACGACTCTCGCCGCGTCCGGCGAAAATTTCGTGGATACCGTCGGCGCAAATCGATCGCTCTTCCAAAAGTGTGTTACTCGTCCATTATCGACAACCGACATTTTCAAATACATTTGTCCTTTCAGACCCTCGTGCTCGTGCATCGTCTGAAGCGAACATCTCAGACGGTGTAGAGACAGTATCAGCTGTCCGCCGCTATCTTCGTCTTTCTCACCTTTCGATAGACATAATGATAATTCGACTTGTCCCTTTTTGTTCTCCTTCTGAAATAATATTGCTTCATGTAATATTTTAATAAAATTAAATAGATGTAAAGAATACAGTAAATAATACACAGCATATCACGAAGAACGATATCAGTATTTTTAGAAAATAATAAATGCACATCCATATTTTCATTAAAATATGTAAGATGACGTTATAACTTTTCTTAAATTAAAGAAAAATATTAAATATAATTTTAATGATTTTGCTTATGCGACGGTATTACTGCACAATTTTTATGAAACTGTAAAAACCTACTCTTTCCTCGGCACCTATGATACCACTTGCGATTGGTCGCAACGGTTTCCATAAATCTCCCGTAGATACATCACTGGTATGTTTCGATTTCGGTGGCTTGCAAACAAAATTTTTCGGATCGAGCGGAATCGTTGTCGCGCCAATGGTTCGTCTCTTGTCATAAGCTTTTCTCTCCGAAACCGTAGATTCCGCGAGCTTATCGGGACCTTTGCAAAAAAATTGGCTGAGAAGCTTGTTCTTGGTGGATTCCTGATTTTCGGTAGAACCACCCTGACCCTCCTTCTTCTTTCCACCCTTCTTCGCCGATTCTCCCTTAGTAGGCGATGTTTTTTCCTTATCCGAATCTTTTTTTTCAGTCGCTATCAGCGGTTTGTCTTCGAGAACCGCGAAGAGAGTCGCGACGACGAATCTGGATCCGTTGATTTCCTCTTCGACGACCTTCGATTTGCCAAATTTTTGCTTGATTTCTTTGCGCAAGAGAAAAGTAAATCCCTCGTTCCATTGTGGCCAGGATTCATTTTTCGTAGTAGTCTCGAACTTTTCCTTGCCAGGTATCAGCTTTACCTAGAGAAGTTAAACCTTGAAATTACTTTTTTCGATGATAATATTTTAATTTGCTTTTACTTTTATTGCTCAAGTTTTAAAATATATATGGATCAAACAAGAGTTAATAAGATAGGCAAGCAATAAAATTGAGATACATTTTTATTTTTTTATTTTTTTTAGTTAAGATAAATTATTATTGAAATATAAGATATAAGATATTTTTTCAATTAATTTTAGTAATTTACATTCTATCTATAACTCAATTTTCTTCCAGCGATATAAATAATGAGATCAAGTTACGATGTTATCGGTGAATTTCATTAAAGATCCATATATACCACGTATTCCAGAAATTATATTCTAGAAATATGCAAAAATATTTAAATGATTTTTTGTATATATATAGAAAATGCAGATAGATAGATATAAATGTATGTATATATATAAACGATATGCCGTTTGATTCGCGCGACGATGCCAGAAGGAATAGTGAATAAAAATACTACAGTCAATGCCTGCACATATCTATAATACGATATTCTCGTGGTTCGTGGTATTACGTAATCATAGATAACATCCAAGAGCTTCTTCGACTAGCGCCTTATGTGTAATTCAAAGCACAGCGAAGCGAAACGAAGCACGATCTTGCAGTATGCTTCGTTAAGTGTTAAAAGTGTTAGCATTTCTGCGACGCGTATTTTCCGAAAAAACATTGTTATTTTATTAATGCAGATAAAAACGATTATATATACGAAATAAGATCGAATAAATTATTATTACATCAAATTTATAGATTCAATTGATACACAGAGCTAAATGTGCATCGAGAATATATACGTGCTATTGACGAGACGTACGCGCCTCTTGTTTGATCGATCCACATTCTCAAGCCACGTTTACTTTACCTTTACGACGTAGCTGTTGACTCTGGTGAAGCCAAAGTTCTGCGGCAAGTGTCTGGCACCGAGAACAGTGACGTGGAGCGCTTTATCGTTCGGCGAGTGTACGATCCTAATACCGATCTCCGGCTCCAAATTTACCGTGCGATCCAACGGTGTTGTGGACACCGTCTTTAGATTGTTGTCGATGAAATTCCTGAGCTTGGCCAGCGCCATGGTCGCGCGATTGTCCTCTCGAAATCCCAATTACAGCTTATCGGCAAATGAGCGATCGTTCAGATAACGGTTGATCACCGAGGACTCGGTAACGTTGTCCGTGCACGCTGCAAAATTCTATCGTGAGCACTTTACGCCAATCAGCTGCACGCTAAAGGTGTGCTATTAATATGCGTGCATATATAACGCGACGCTATATCTTTCGATAGTCTAGAGATATGAATCTCGACGCAAAAATTTTATTTGCTACAGTCAGCGACAAGAATTCCCGTGTTCGTTAAAAAGAGTTCTCTATTTTTATTATTATCACATAGTAAATACATGGTAATACTCTGGTTATTGAAACGTATAATATAATATCCCGCTTTATAATTACTTTAACGCTTTATTAAGCATTCTTATCAGCTTTGATAAGAAGAGAAGGCGTCTCAATCATTTTAATATCGACTATACATCCTACGAATATTTTACAACTCATTTCAATATTGAAGATAAATTTATAAATTTTATAAAAGATGAATTAATTCAGAAAAATAAAGTTTAGAGAAATATTGCTATATTTTGTATGATTCTTCTAACTTGGACAAATCTGCCGATCTTAAGACTTCTCGGTCGTAAAGAGCGTGCTTTCTCTCATTAAGCAATGTAATACTTCTATTATCGACAACAGGTGATTATCAGCTGTTCCGGCAACAGCCCATACCGATCCTTTCGTTCTCGATGCAATAAAACCGCGTTCGCACAGAAACAGGATGTCCGAGAGAATGTCGAAGAAACGAGCAAATGATCGAACTTTCCCCATGAAGAAAAAAAAAGACCTCGCCCCGTCGATTGATCTCGAGCAATCGCGTGACCCGCTATACGATCGCGGAATGCCGCGAAGAAAATCACGTTTACCACCGAGATCGTAGCGACGCCGACCTCGATTATCACGTCATTAATGAGATTTAATATGCCAAACGCGATAGACGCCTAGTATCTCTCATCTTCTTAATAGAGACTTTAATGCTCGGTATGTGTCATCTGAAGTAAAGAAAAAACAACGGCAACAACTTCTATTTTTTATTAGGTTATTTTTCTATTCTGTTCTATTTTGTGCATAAATCGAATAAAATTTCTCTCCGATAATATCATGCATTCCAAACATGCTACTTGGAGCAGGTCGTTAAAATTTAAACAACGGTAAATATATGTATAGCAACAGTATAATGTCTATTCATGATTTGTTAATTAATGCAAGATAGTTGCTTATCAGAGAGAAGCATATAATGATAGAAAATAATCTGTTACTTTATTCACATCTAATTCGGTGCGTGACGATTTCGAATTTCAGGAAAATATCTAATTATTCTCTGTCAGATAACTTATTCCACGCGCGATACATTAATGTCGTAATATCAAAGGCGATCAATAACGTAAGTCAATAACGGTACGCATTCGTAGTATATGCGAAGAAGTAAAAATTGTACCATAATCGCGATTCCACCGATTCGGAGCAAATTGCTGCAGCGACCCAAGTCTGAACGGTAGATCGAGATCTCTCAAGTAAGCAGGAAGAGAATAGTTGCTATCCGGCGAGGAGCGATGTCGGCGCGGATGCACGCCTGGCGGGTCCGCGACTGGTGACGTCTCGAGATATCCACCCGCGATGAATCTTCCCGTCGATGGCCAACGATGTTAGACGCTCGATCCCATGGTCACCAAAACGCGAACACGCATCATCATCGATCGCGAGGAGGAATTCGCCGAGAGAGCTTTCACCGCGCACGCAGTCGCTCGCACTCGGTATCGGTCGCACGCGCTCGTAATATCCACTGCGTATCACAACGTACCCGAGACCAACTACGTCATTGCAATCATCAACGAAACTCGCGGGGTCCCATGAATGGCTTCACAGGCGAATGCGCGCGTGCGATCGTTGTTGCAGCGTCGTGACAGTTCGACTTCGGTTGCGCGCGACGCGTCGCCGTGGTATGCAGCTTGCTCTCGCGTGGGTTCCCTTTATAAGAGGCCAGCACGACGCCGGTTTACAGTGATGGATAATAGCAAGGCGTCCGAAGGTATCTTCCAATGGGCACCGTTATGGTTGGCAATTATATACGTAAGCAAACGTAAGAAGGAGATTTGCCGAAGAAATATGTATATTTTTCACGTATATATATAAATTATTAATACTTTTTTAACACATACCAAATGTTTTCTATTTTTTTAATATTCTTCATCATCTATCTTTGCATACAAAACGTAGATGAAAATTGTAATTATGATTTTGCTTAATATATTATTAAATTGGTTACTCTTATCGTGCGTAATCTATATTAGATGGTTTTAATCAATTTAATTTTAATTTTTTAATTTTCATGGGAATTTTTGGAAACCAATCAGGGGTCTGCAACTACGGTACTGACACAGAACTGGCCGTTGCCGCTAAAATAGGGGGATTTACTTGTGCCGTCGTCGTATACCCGTCTGTAGCCCCTGTAGAGTTGTAGTTTTGTGAAGTGACGCCTGTTGCGCTCGCAAGGTCGCTCATTTATATTACACGTTGCTGTATGTGTACAGGCATGTACGTGCAGGCGCTTCTGCGTGAGTAAGTACAACCACATGGAAGGAGGGTATACAGAAACAGGACCGTAAATAGTCACAATTCTCCTTATCCGAGAAAAAATAATAGATGAGAATAAATAATAAAAAATATTTGATACAAGATTTTAATATTAAAATTGATATAAAAATTTTAATAATATAGTATAAAGACGTTCTTTCTGTAAAAGAGTAGGAAATTTACTTTATTTACGGAATAAAAATTTAGATAATATATTAAAAACGATAAAAAACGTGAAAATATTTTTTACATGTTATTTAATTAATGATGAAAAATTAATAAATCAATAAATTTTTGCGAACTACTACGATAATTATGTGCGTAAGTATGATAAATAACATTTAAAACGAGAAGAAAAGATTGGCAGCTTATAGAGAAAATATGTGCTGTATAGGAGAAGATTATTTATCTTGGTGCGTAGAAAAAACTAATTGTGATTTTACGATAATCTCGTGTTGGCAGTTTAAAAGAATGCGGTAGAGAATATTGCGTTGCATAACAAATGAGTTACGACAATTGCATTGGAATATGATGACATTAAACGTACATACATTAAACATACGCGTGTCGCAGGAATACGGTACGTGTCGCGATCAAAAATTCCTCGTTGTTTAAAAATATATATCATAAAAATATAAATAATTAATTTATGCGATTAAAATTTATTTTGTAAAATATTAAATTTAAATATCCAATATCTCCTGTCCATTTTTGCGAGAGAACGCATATTCATACGTGCATCTACATTATTTCAAACGCATATTTAAATACGCATGACGAATTATGTTCTATGCGTATCGGATTGTATTGATCGCACGTGATGATATGCAAGGATAGCTCTGTCAGGTATATCGCGGCCTTCGAAGTTAAACAACATTTGTCACCATGTTTACATTAAAGGAACTGTATCTATGGGAAGTGAATCTCTATCTATTTACCATCACATGTCAATTTATAATTTCTTCAGAAAAGCGTTACATATATTTATAAATTGTCCTATACATAGTGAAATAATTTATAGCACAAAGATATATAGACAATCCTACAAAATTATTAATTATAAATATATCAGTAATGAGAGAAAAAGCAAAATTATTTAACATTAATAGGTAAAATTAAACAATTAAATAATTCAGAAATTGATATTTCCTGCGGAAGTTAAACAGCGGAGATATATAAAGACGACAGCAGTTACTGGTACCCTGCTATAGATGGCAATGAAGGACGATGGTCAACCCTTCTTCCTACCAAACAACCCCCACGATTGACGAACAGCTGTTCAGCACCGCCATGGCACACGCGACGTCGCAACATCGAAAACACTTTGAACGATTTCGATTTATTTGTGCCAAAAAAATCTTTCCGCGCCGCGATACGACATATCTCGTGATAAACTTTCGATCGTAGAGTGATATTTCGCGAGAGTGTTTCGGGTTGTGCGAGTTGCATGTTCGCGAGTGATATCCAAGTGACATTTTAGAAATATTTGGTGGGAATTTTTTTACATATCAGGTATGAATTTCTTTTTATTCATTTCTTCATATCTTGTATTAGATGATAGTTTGCAGAGATTAGTATTGCATAATTTTTAGCAAAATTGTAACGAAAGAAATGAAAAATGATCATCAGTGGATCAGACAGATATACATATATGTATGTAGATACATATGGTAAATAAGAAGATATAATAATACAATATAATAAATAAAAAATATATCGTGTGAATTTTTTTATTGTTTAATTATTTATCTTTGCAAAAAAAAGTTTAAATAATTTTTGTCTTGCACGCCATATTATATGTTTTTAAATTATATTTATTGCATCTATTATTTAAATAAATATAATACATATTAGATTTCATTTTTTAAAAAATAAAAAGAAATAATTAATTTTATAAACTAAAATGCCAATCGTTCTATTAAACTAATATTATTTGAAGAAGTTGGCGAAAAAATTTATTTGTCTGAGACTATATAATTTATTTTATTTTGTATATATTAAATATGTGCTTCAAAAGGGGTAATATTAAATATTTACTATTACCGAGAGAAAGACAGAGAGATAACTTATCTAATTATAAGTTGAAAAATACTTATCATCTTTATCGTGAGATGGCACCACACAGATATATACTTCAATTTGACAAATATAAAATAAATTTGTTCTGCAGATTATTCCTTATAATTAATATCCATATCGCTTATTATTTCTACATTAATCTGCTCCAACATATATGATTAATGAAAAAATAGTTTCCGTTGTTGAAATTATTTTGTACGAAGAAATTTAAAAAAAAACGATTCAAAACAGGAAAAGAAGATTTAATCACATGTAGTTATATAATGTAATATTTATGCATGATAATATTACGTAAGAGTTTGAGTATTTTCCATGGCAAAGTGCTATTATGAGACTCAGAATTACATGATCGAAGTACGAACGTTTTACATTCGTGAATATATTTCCTTTTTTTCTGTTTAACAGCTATAAAATAATATTAAATGGTTTTTTTTTCAAGATACTAATATAATCTGCATATAAATATATAAAAAAAAAATATGTATAATTTTTTCTTTTCGGAGATAAAAGGCAGCATATGATCCGGAAAATCATACATTTTTTTCGTTTACATGTGTTCTTATTCAAGTCACGTTCTGACGACAAGGGTAATAGCCCTGAACTTTGTCTTCGTCGGATCAGCTTAACTTCCGGTCGTAAAATTTCGCAAAATTCTAGTGCGGTCTCAGCGAAATATGTTTTCTGTGGTTCCTGGCATTTTTCAGCTTGATCGATCACTGCCACGTTATTGTACATAGGAAGACATAGCAGACGTTTTTATGAGTTTTTCTGAGCATTCATGTATTACACTAACATTCACACCGACTAATTTACATTACGCGACATACAAGTATACATATTTTATGAAAAGAAATTTAAAAAACGATTCAGAGAGAGAGAGAGAGAGGGAGGACAAAGTATAATAAATTTTAATATTTAAAAGAGGATTAGAAAAAATTTTTGCTAATATATGTATGTATGTGAAACACGCATTTGCGAAACTTTTTGTATTTTTTTTAAATGTAAACATGCAATTGTATTTATATTTACTGCAGAGCTGCGTGATGTTCAATATATGTCGCACAATAAGAAAAAAACCGATATAGCGAAATCACATTATGCGCTAGTAATCCGCGCTGCATTACGATGAATGCTGCATGTGTCTGCGGCTTTTCCGCGTCACGAGATTCATGAATGCAAATATCCCAGGAATAAAGAGTCACGCACGCTCTTTATATCATTCACCTTTCTCATTTTCGTTCCGCACCGCTTCCCAGACCATCCTTCTCTATCCCTATCTTCTTTTTTTTTTTTTTTTACGTTACTTCCTTCTCGCCCTTCTCGCAACAGTAGCGAGCAAAACTTTAAATCTGGATCCTGATGTGCACTATCCATTTTCGCGTTTATGATTTAATGAACGTAACTCCGCACCTTCCGCTATCGACAACAGTTCGTGCTTCTTCTCTCGGTAAATCTTCGGTGTACGCCTTATTATAAACTCTTTTGCGCGGCGCAATTTAAAAGTATAGCTCGCAACTTCGTCCTGTGAAGCTTCGTATTAAGCTCCCACTTTGAAAGCGGCACCTCGGTAACCGGTGGAAGTAACGTCGAAGTTTAGCTAATCGTTTCTCATCACGGACGCTGATAAATTATTCAATTATAACGCCTTCCGCTACTGAACAAGTACTTTCAAAATAAAAAAAAAAAAAGAGAGAAAGGGAGAGAGAAAGAAAGAACGTACATCATCCGAAAATAATTATTTGAACATTTCCCGTAATATCGAATTGGTATCGCGTTGACAGTGCGAAGATTAAAGTCAGATTTCGAAATATTCCGTAATTCCCTGTACGTATTTCTCGCACGTAGTCGTAGTTTGATATATTTAACCTTCCCTTTGACCCTGCGCACCCTTTTAAGTGCATCATTACGTATTCCCTTTTGTAACGCCGGACTTTATGCAGACCGCATTCGCAGCACCTTTCTATTCTTGATCATATCGCACGTTAGGTGTACAAGGTGATAATTCTGTCTTTGTTACAAATGTAATAAATGATGATGATATTATATTACATAATTATATTATTATTATATAACATAAAAAAAAAGATTTTTTTTTTAAATTATAGGAAGGTAATATATGAACGGTATATAATTGATGCATGAATTGATCTGTAAAATTGTCTCATGTCTATTTGGCAGCATTTATGTTACGAATGATTTTGTTAATAGAAATGCTCATTATTTCGATCAATGAATTTTATAATCGAACGAATCCGGGGATAACGCATCGACTTTAATTAGAACACAATCTATTTGCATTCCTCGCATAGCTTTCAACGTAATCCTGTTAATATCGCTTTCCTCGTCGTGTTCACCTTGCTGTATACGACACTTTGTCCCAGTTCCGCGATACGACGACAGAGAAAGAGGTCGGAAGTTTCTGAATGTCGGTAATGAATATATGAATGCATAAGCGTGTCGCCGTTTGTCACTCAGAGATTGTAGATGTATCGTTTCATGAGCACGCATATCAAGATTACATTCCCAATGCCAGCAACGTATTTAGCGACAGTATGTATTTACTGTGTTGGTTTATTATTCTTATTAAAGAGAGTTCTTTCATTAAAAATCTGGCCTTTCTCTCTTTTTATTCCAACTCCACTTTTGCATTTGTTACTGCAATTTTTAATAATTACGCAAATTTTCAATTTTTAATAATTAGTAACGATTCGGCTAGTTTTATTTATTTCTTTTTTTTTGTTAAACGCCAAATAATAAAGATTCTATTCGTGATTGTACGTCTCGCGAATGAACAATGCGTACATATAAATGAATATTTATTCATGATAGACATCTGTCCATCGAATCTACAATCTTGGCATCATCAATCGTCACTATATAGATAGAGATTTCATTTATCGAGAAATTTTAAATCAAACCACCATTACTCACGACGCGGCAACTGCGACGGAGCATTTTGATTCACCAGGAGGCAATTGAAATTCGTTTCGTCACTGGCGTTTGCCCTTTTTGCGATTCTGCAATTTATTGTAGGTATTTCAAGATTCTGAATCGGCACAATTTAGCGGTACGCGAAAAAATACAATTCGTTTCGCGTACGTGGCAGGGCTTTTTAGATCCTCTTTTTTAATTTTCTACCTATCCTGCGGCAAACTCGACGAATGTAAATTTTTGTCGATTACGATTGGCATACAAAAATGCGTTTCATAAAATACGTTCGTAGTTTGTCAATCATGTGGAACAGCTTTCGAAAATCGAAACGTAAAAAATTACTCGTTTTGTGGCCGATCGCAAATATAATTTATGATACAGGTCAAAATCCTTAAATTTTACGTTCATGAAAAAAAAAAGCATATGTGTAATTTTTGTTTTTATACTGGAAATTGTCGTGAATTTCGACACTTCATCCAACCGAATCTTCAAAATTTTCAGACAAAACGGATTAGCATCGACCGTAGCCGAATGAAGGGGACGTAAATCGATTCCGACGTGCCCTTAAATTCTATTAGCGCCAACTCCGATTGCATTCTTCAAATGGAAATAGGGAACGAGATTTTCGCGACGAGGAAGCGATTTCGACAAAGCAAAGTCGCGCCGGGCGTGTGATTAGATTTTACACTCTCGCTTTACTTTTACGAATGCCGTCGTTGTCTTCGTTGTGTCCTTAAACGAAGTCGTTTCGCCGGAGCGATGCGGAGCGATATCGGAAAATAAATTTTGCGTAATCGCGTTTCGACCATGGAGAGTACTGTGGCTATTAAACGCAGGAAATTCTTGTCCTGCTCTGGCAGAGAACTAACAGGACCATTTCCCTTTCCAGTTTAAACTGCCATTTATGAAACCGTCTGCCGCGGCGAACGAGTGTCCTGGTTCCTGTTCTATCGTTGATGATTTATTCAATCGCGCGCTTGTCGATATTTATCGTTCGGCAGCCATTCCCAGGGGACCAGACACACTCTCGGCGAGATAAATCATATTATCGTAGACAAGTAGCGTCCAGTATATGGCAATCTGCGCCCATGCCAAAATCTGCGGTCGTACGAGCATGGAAATCATATTAGACTGATACCATATTGCTTAATGGCGATCATCTGCTTTCGTGAACATCGATTGCGTTTTTATATCGCCATTATATAATAAAACGAACATGGTATTCACGGTTTTCTCTTGAAATAAAATCAAAATATTTAGTATTTTTATCGTTTCTATTAAATATAGCGTTTTTAAAAATGTTTTATCGTAGAGGAAAATGCGAAACGAATAAAAAGATAAATTTTTACATTTTGCTCGATAATATATCTATAAATATTTATATAAGGTATTCCATGTTTCTCCGTACGCTTTATCAAATTCTCGGCAAGATCGGCTCCAGTTACAGGGAAATGTAACATGCAAATGCGACGAGATGTTGCAGCGCACATCGCAGACGTCGT